TCCGACTTGACTCGTTCAGGATAAACTCCCTTATCATCAGCTTGCAGATGGCGAGCTGCAAGCCTAATCTATTCCAGGCCAGTGAAAGTGGCAAGGAAGTACTCTTTCTAGCAAGCTGGTCTGCTTTCTTGTTTTCTGGTTTGTTCCAATGTCTTGCAAAGCGAGCTGTACACAAATTGCAAGCTTTAGAAAGCGAACTAACCGTTTTCGAGTTTATCGTGACGCAGACAAGTGCTCTTATGGCAGCTCGCGACTGTCGAGGCTCTGTGAATTATGTTCCCGTGTATTAAGACCGCAATCAAAAAATTAAAATAAAAAAGTGAAATTAGGCCAAAAGATCCAAAAATGAATTGGGAAATATGCGGTTATGTGTACAATGGTTTTGTGATAGGGGCGGAGGAAGAAGGGGTGTGGCATTTAAAACTTCGCGCATTGGAAAGAGAATTTAACAAAAGTTGCCCTTTCCCTCTCTGGCCCCTCTAACGAACCCTGGGGACGCATTTGAAAATGGGATAAAATTAGCATTTTGACAAAGATAATGTAAACTCGGGTTACGCAATTCACCGTATTTTTGCTCAGTGCACCTTTCCGCGGTGGCGGCTTTTGGCCGTGCTTAAAAAAAGAACCTTCATCATTCTAACTCCGGCTACGCTGACCACAGTATTTTTGGGCAGACATAACTCATTTTAATAAGTGAAATGAGGCCGCCGAAGAAGTAAGAGGGCGACCTTAATTCACGCGGTCTTAATTCCATCCCTCGACTGTCTGCGTAGATGCAAATTAAATTTGTCGTGGCAACATTAGACGTTGTCTACTTGCAGCTTCTTGGATACCCGCTAGTTCGGCCCGAAAGACAATGGTTTTGGAGGCATAGAGACGGCACCATTCTGAGTGGCCGCCTACTCTATTATCAAGGTTGGATCCAACAGTATAGAATCCAATCGAAATCTCATAAGCTCCGCAGTTTTGTAGATAAGGCNCCATTTATGGCTTCTTTTTTTTGTTAAATAAATTCTCTCAAAAAGTTCAAGTTGAGTTCACTCACCCAACCGCCATTATCATTGATCCATGATACCAATTCATCCTCGATAACCTCCGAAACGCCATCCACCAGCTTGGGTACATATTCTGGATGACCTTGACGCACAAAATCCACTGAAAGTCCACCGGCAATGGCAAACAAAGAAATCACTTTACTCCAAGTTATTTCCGTGCGAAATAGATCGCGTCCAACAGCACCCAAGAGCAGTGTAATAGTTTCGGCTGAATGAAATTCACCACCCGGAGCACGACAAATTTGCCGTGCAACGCCTGTGTAGACGCGCGGATGCATACGCTCCAACTCATCACCGAGCTGTAGAGCAAAGACATGAGTGATGTTTAGTACTTAGAAAAGAATTAAATAAATATTTACATCAGTAAAATAGCTCACCACCATTACAGCGGGAAAGACCTCACGCACTATATCCATTGAGGATGTGCCAAGTATGCTGCGTATGCGTTGAAAGCCCAACTTTTTATTGAATAAGCCCGACCGTCGCA